CTAATATCTCATTTGTCCATTAGTTGCTAGGCAAGTAAAGCTGATAAGTACGTTCATTTATCCCACATAAACATAACACATGTAGGTCTTTAGAGTACTGATTTACCACATGCTCTGTGGTGAAAGGAAAGATGCTGGGGAAACTTTCAAGACAAAAATAAAATATTTTGAAGACGTGAAGACCGCCGACACGTGCAGCGGACTAGTTGCTCGATTGTCATCATAGAATGAGAGAAGGTCTGTGCCCAGTCGTGGAACTTATATTGGCTTAGGCTTTATACGTGGTAGAGCCACGCTGCAGCTATATTATGGTTGTAGCACGAAAGGGTCGGCTCGACTGGGGAAGGACCACGCTCTCACAGAATACCAGCGTAAAATAGCAGCTTGATGCTGCTGTGTTACTGTGCTGTGTTTGAACTATGCAAAAATAAGTCCTGTTGCAGGACAGAAATTCGACGACCTCCTTCAAATATCTATCCGTGCCCCTACAATCCGTTCCGCAATCCGGCCGGATCCGGTCCGGCAAACCGCAACGCGATAAGAAGCGGCCCAGCGTGGCCACAAAGGCTTCAGTGCTGAGGGCACTTGCAAGTTCTAAGTGAACGACCCTAGTGGCGAGGCACACGAAAACGCACAGCTAGGCCTTATGTGAACGCGCGTTACGTAGGTTAGAGGACTTGACGAGGAAGGGGCCAGCAAAGTCAGTTCCGACTTCAGCGAATGGTCGAATGGCCCTGACGTGGTCGGGTAGAGAACTGGAGACCCGTTTTACTGGAATCGAGGCATTTCATCTTAGTCCTCAGGAGTGACAACGTATATGCATTTTGATTCTTAATCGAGGTTAATTGTAGATGTCTATGGGCCACAGCATCTACTTACCATCAGGTGCACTGTGTGCTCGTTTGTCACGCTAATTCTATAAAAAAAGGCTAAGCTTTACTTTATTTTACTTTTATTTGCGTATTGCATCTTATAAAAATTATAAACTTGCATGGAAATAGTAAACTTTAGTATTATTATTGGGTATTAACATTTATTGTTATCGTTATAATTTGAAGGTAGTGTTATAGATAAGTTATGATTCACAGTACAACTATTACTATTATACAGTATAAACGAGTAAAATGAAGTAAAATAATGTTACGCTGCTCACTGCCTCGCACAAGTCTCCTCTCATTTCTCCACTAGGGTTCGTTTTTAGTTTTTACTAAATACATGCTCGGCGGTAAAGGAAACAATTGTGAGGAAATCAGATGTTGAATTCATGTAAAGTCCGCTATCACGTATTGTTTAATTTATATTATTATGTATTATGTTACATTTTTATAATTTATATTACATTAAAATATAAGACTTAAAGTATTACAATATCATCTTTATCAGTTATCTCACCTTATTATTTGTGGGATTTTTTTTTCAACTGCGTAACTTAAAAAACTGGTTGTTTTAATGTAGGTAGATAAAATAATCGAGTGTTTTGAATATACTGTGAACGACGAGCGCACTGTCCGCGCGGAGGGCGCCCTGAGACCGCCCGGGAATGTAGATTGAGTTGTCAGAATATTTGAATTTTAATCCTGGCCAGACATAATACAGGCACTTGTTTATTTATTCATTAGCCTATGTGTGCGTTTAACATTTACCGCCTCTCCGTGATTGTAATTATTGAATGCCATTAATAAACATTAAAAAATAAAGTTTAAAAATTTGTATTACCTATGTAATCAAATAGAAAATTAGTTGTAGTTGTTTTAAAGAATTCCTTTTCATTTTTAAACTAGTTAAAAACGAAGAGGTTCTATATCTAAACCGGATATTTTTTATGTATTTAAGTATTTTAACGCATTTATCGGAAACATCAGAATCGATTTAAATATTTTTAATAGTATAGTATACTTTACGGGTTATTCGAAATAAAAATATTTATAAAAAATTCCATCCTATTAGACGACATACTTACTTTTTAGATTGCTTGTGGTATTACTTAGACCACACAAAGTGGTAAAAAATAATTAATCAAGCGATGCTAATACAAAATAGTGTATCGAAGAATTATGAGTAAGGTAAAAGACCTGACTTCAAAAGCTATTATGGGGATTTAATTTTTTAGTTTTTGAAAGTAACTATGGCAAATATCGCACCCATGAAGGAATCTAGGTATCTTTGACTAGGTATCTTAAAGGCGAATGCCTTTGAGTAGGTATCTTAAAGGCGAATGCCTTTGAGTAGGTGTCTTAAAGGCGAATGCCTTTGAGTAGGTATCTTAAAGGCGAATGCCTTTGAGTAGGTATCTTAAAGGCGAATGCTTTTGAGTAGGTATCTTAAAGGCGAATGCCTTTGAGTAGGTATCTTAAAGGCGAATGCCAATGGAGCAGTGGATATTTTAGGCTATACATACATAGGTACATAACGAGTATAGTATAACATTGTCAAACTGTTATCTGCCTTAAATTAGTAATGAAATTAAATGAAATGTATTTTTAAGAAGCGTAAATATATCATTTTAGCAATCACTGTAGACGATAACCAATTTCTTTCTAGTTATAATTTCGGTACGAGTACTATAAGTATTTTTAGTCACTATTAGAATCCAATTTCTTCTTTTAATTTAATACATAGCAAAATAATCTAAATTCTGAAGGATCAATATGATCAAGTCTCAAATATTTCATGAAAATTGTACAATAATTAAGTGTTGTAGGTACTTTAAAAATGAAAAAAAAAAACATTTAATTTACCATTATTGTATGCGGATTAAAGTATACCTACATAATAATATAACTTCGAACTTTCTTACATCACATTCGTTTTGGTGTCATTGTTTTGTCCTTGTATTTACATGGAGTAAAAAAGTTAAGAGCCGACCGCTAATTAATTTTTAGTTTTTGTTTTGATGTGTACAGGAGAGAGATGGTAGTCCATTACTGATACATGGCTGAATGTAGAGTCGTCACCATTTGGGGAACATCCTACGTTATATAAATATTCAATAGGGGTTTGAATATGTTAATCCGACGTCTCCTCATTGGATTGTAGATTGCTCCGTCGTTTTTATCTTATACGACATTTAACTCCGGTAATTCAATTTACTTTATTTGCATAATGCCGCTTGTTCTCTGAAGTAGGTGAGTATGGAAATCGCTTGGAATAGGGCGCTGCGTAGTTTGATTACAACATTCGTGTTACGGAATGTATAAGTTAATTAATACTAGGTATAAATTCCTTTTTTTTAAGTTAAGCGGCAGTTTTTAGGGTTCCGTACCAAAGGATAACCAACAAGACCCCATTTCTAGCGTCCACTGTCCGTCCATCCGTCCGTCTCTCTATCAGCGAGTTGTATCTTATGAGACAATTGAAATTTTCGCAGAATGTGTATTTCTGTTGCCGCTATAACAATAAATAATAAAAATAAATTGAAATTAAAGGGGGCTCTCTCACTAGAAACGTGTTTTTACAATGGTACGGAACCTTTCATGCGCGAGTCCGACTTGCATTTGGCCGTTTTTATATTTTTTATGAAATTGATTAAAATTAAAATAAATTGTAAATATTATCTTCACATACTTATCATAATAAAAAGCACACCATGAAAAGTGATTTAGTTTTAATCTCATAATTATTATTAATGAGTTTATTTGAAAGAACAGAAAAGATTAGCTTCACGTTCCCAAATGTAATAAATGTAAATTTTCAATTTAGAAATCTCTGTCAGGAAATTAATGTCTTTAGGCAATTTTAATATAAATTATTATAGAAATAATGAACAAAATCTAATACATATCTCTACAGCAGTACCCATGTTCCAAGTATTAATATCCGCCATGATTATTCGAAGTAAAATTGGCATTACATATATATTGACCCATTTAAACATTGCGTTCTCGATGCAACCCACACACGCATTCCTCGTTAACACCATACTGAATCAAGAAAAAGGTTTCATCACACTATTTCGTATAGGAGAATGGAGATATCTAGAATTAATCGGGCTTTGAAGGCATACAAAGCCGTGAAATATGGCGCGCTCGTTGTTCACAATGGCTACGTCTTCATCATGACCCTATTGTTTTTTTTTTGTGATACCGAAGGCAGAATTATTTTCTGGTACTGCCAGAATAACGAAACATGTTCTTATACTTGTATTACGTTTTTGATTTAATTAAATCACAAAAAATATTTACCCCATGCATTGAGCTACTACGTACTACGTACTAGAGGCGACACTGCATTCAGCAACTCTGTTCCACTCAACTGCGGTGCTTACACCGCACTTTAATCAGTCACTCGCTAGGCGCTTGTAGAGTTGTCACGTGTTGTGTTGATTTAAAAAAATCTCTTGATAAAAATACGGCGTGGTGTATACTTACTTAGATATTGCACAAATAATTCAAGAAATTTCAGTAAAAACCAAGGAATTACTTTTCATCAGTTAATAAGATACTTAATCAATAAAAAAGTATTATAGATTAATAATAAAACAAATAATTCCTAAGACACCATCTCGTGTCATGAAATATAGATTATGAAATTAATATGTTCAGATGCGACATTTCTGTGGGTACTTACAGTGGTTGTTCAAATTATTATACTCAAACCATGAAATAAGATTTTTTAAGTTTTTTAAGTTTAAATTTCTTTAAGTAATAAATTTAATCTGTTTACTGGTATTATTTTTTCACTAGAGCTTATAAAACTATTTCTGAAAATAATTAAACATGTTTTTGGTGTAAAAAGTTAATTTAAAATCAAGTTTTTTTTACAAATTAATATTTTGTAAAACCACCCTTTTTTGCAATAACTTCTTGAAGTCGACGAGGCGTGCTGTCTATGCAATTTTTTGATATTGTTTTTAATTCTGGGGTGTTACACCAAGCGTTGATTATCTTCTCAATCAGTTCTTATTTATTAGTTATGACTTTTTCTTTAGCTATTTCCTTTTTTAATGCAGCCCACACATTTTATATTTTATTTTATCTATGGGGTTTAGATCTGGAGAGTTATCAGGCCATTCCAACATCTTTATCTGATGGATGGATCTCATTTAGGAATTTTGTCACTTTTTTTGCTTTATGACATGGGGCTGAGTCATGCATAAATAGGAAATCCTTATTAGGAAACCATTCTGATGTCTGTGGGATCAGTTTTTCTGACAGAACTTTAATGTACTGATCCTGCCCCATGGTGTTTTCCACTATGTAGAGGCGCCCGTTACCCTTTGCACTGATAACTCCCCAGATCATTATGGATAGTGGATGCTTCACTCTCTCTACAATACAGTCTTCTTTGAATTTCTTGCAAGATCTGGATACTCGACTCATCAGAGAAACAAACCTAGAAATCCCAAACATGATCAATTCACATTAGTAAAGACATGTCCATACAGTGATACAATACAAAATACGTTTAAAATACAATATATTACTTTATGCCAGTCTTCTGCATTCCAGTGTTTATATTTTTTTGCAAACTCTAGGCGTTTCAGACGCATGGCGGGAGTCAATTTCGGCTTCTTCAATGGTCGACGGCAGGAAAAGTTTTGTTCCTTCCATCTTCTACGTAACGTCATGTCGGACAGAGTTACTCCAGACTTTTCGAGAATATCTCTAATGACTTTTCTGGGTTTATTCCGATTTTCTATGGTTATTTGCAGAATTTTTCGCTCATCTCGAGGCGTAGTGATGCGTTTGCGTCCACATTATCAGGAACGTTTCGGCGTCATGGACTCCTCTTGTTGCACAGCTTTACTAATATTACGCACTGTAGATTGAGAAACCTTGCACATTTCTGCTATTTTCCTTTGAGAATATTTACAGTGTTGTAGCAAAGTCTTAATTTCAGTTTTCTTTTTTGGAGACACGTCAGAACGCTTCCCCATCTTCAAATCTATTGAAAGTGAGGTTATGTTGATAAAAAAGACGAATTTTTAAATAAAATATATATTAGACAGCAAAAAACAGCGAAATGCTAGAAGAATAATAACTAATTACAAAGTAAAACCAATAAAACATACCTTTTACTGAATAAATCCTTCACTTAGTTATAATAAAGACACAGAGAGCACGTGCTTACAGAAATGCAAAATTGGCAACGAAACAAAATGGCGGCTATTACAGTGTTGCCTAGTTAAAATTAGACAATTTTAGTGTTGTAAACTATAAAGCATAAAATTAAAATCATTTTCAATTTATTTGATTGAACTAAAACCGTCGTTGTAAAGTATAATTGGTTTCTAAATGGAATAAATATGTTGAGTATAATAATTTGAACACCCACTGTAAGTATAAGACGAATATATTATTATACACATTTTTTTTTGTAGAAACATATATAAGTTATTATAATTAGGCTAAATATTTTTCATGTTTAAATCTGCTTATTATTCTTTTATTTTATTTTTAGGTTTTCATATCAAAGTCAAAGTGGAATAAATTCTTCCATTTTTAAATCTCGCGTGCCCAGCATTTATGAACGACTCTTATTTTAATTTTAATAAATATATTTGTAATTTAAATGTTATGTTAATTAGTTTTGTTAAACACACATTTAGTATGTTTTTTATATTTGACATAGATACCTTTTAAAATATTCAGATAAAAATATAATTAAAATGTAATTGTGATATAACATTATGTAATATTATATTAAATAAGCAAATATAATATAAAAAATAGATGACAAAATTTAAATATTGTTCTCGATATAATTTAACAATATAATCTACTATTAACTATGGGTCATTCTACCTATGTTTATTCAATAAAAAAACCCAACCGCGCGAACACAGAGTAGCGCACATTTTTGGTTTGAGATAGCTGTTCTAGTACGTAAGTACATATTACTTCAATGACCCCATGTAACATATTAACAAAAATAATTTTAAAATCGTTAATCTTTTAAGTACACGTAATATGAATTTTTAGTAAATATTTTAAAGTATATTAAGTAAATATTTCAAATAGTGAAATAAATTTACGAAACAGTTATTTATTCAATAATGTATTTTGAAAACCAAATATTTCATTCATTTCACATCATTCCACATCAATCATTGGATATAAGCAAGCAGATAATATATTATATAAAATAATACGTCCGTACAAAGTCGTGACACAATAGAACGGTCCTCTCTTCATTCCGCGTTATCAATCTAACATGATGCCATCTGTGACGCCGCCATTACTCAATTTCCTTCCCGCCAAAAAGAAACCTCTAAATAATTCAAAGACAGAAAGTTTTTAAACGTAAAATGATAAAGAGCAGAGTATTTTTAATTTAAGAAAAGAGTATTTAATGTAACGTATGAAATGAAATATATTTATATAATGTATGTGGAAAAACATATAAATTTTAGTATTATCGATTGTAATAAAATTTTACAACATTTGTCTTCATGATGCTGTGTCAAAAGTTTTTTTTTTCAGAATAAGGTTGACAAACGAGCGTACAGTCCGCCTGATGGTAAGTAGATGCTGTAGCCCATGGACGTTTACGCTTTTATTTACCCTTGATGAAGAATCAAAATGTAGATGCGTTTCCAACCCTCAGGACTAATATGAAATGCCTCGTTTCCGTTAAAAAGTATCTATCACTACAACGATATCTTAAAACCAGTTTAAAAGCGACAGTAGCCTAATGGCAGGGTTCAGACCGCGAACTCAAAAGGTCGTGGATTCGAATCGGCCATTCGAATACTGTCGTGAACCACTCCTAACACAAGCGTTTTAAGCTTACCAGGAGTGGTTAAAGGGAATATTAGCAATGTTAATTAATAGGATTACTAATATTTAAAAAAAAATTGTGTTTCGCACAAATGTAAACTTCGGATAAGATTCGAATCCAGTAACGCCGAGGCTAACTATAAAAATATTTAACAAAATTTTAGCAACAAAAGTAAACATCAACAACAGCAAAGTACATGTTTGTTATTTGCAATACCACGTCAGTAGGTACCGTGGGTTTAATTAACCCGCGACGTGCATGTAGTTGTACTATAAATACTTAAATACCAGATTACCTATTCACGGCTCCGATCTACGTCCTAAAATTCTGACACAAATATTCATTAAAAAAAGTAATCATATTTACTAGTATGTTGTTAAGTGTTGTATCAATTTCAAATACGCGAGATGTTCCCTTGCTTCAAGTCTGGTATGCGCATAGAGTGTCGCTTAGGTATTTTTTCTTAAAAATAAAGATTAAAACACATAAGAGAATTGCTGTGCACCCAACGATCTGAAACCCAATTTTGGGCAATGTAGTATGTTGGTACCACTGAATGATAATTTAAATTCATTCTCTCTGCCGCCCGCGCCATCATTTGGACAAATGTTATGTCATTTGTCTAAGAGAGTGTGGTGCGGAGTGGGGTACAGGGACAAAACAATGTTTATAGAAAAATCATTCTTAACGACATCTCAATTAGTACTATTTTACAGAGACAATTTCAAGGCTGATTCCGAAAACTTCCGTAAACATTAAAACATACGATTATAACACATAAAACCTTTGATACTAGGTCTTATTTAGTATGCTTGAGTAAAACCTTATTTCATGAGCTACCGGAAAGTATTATAGTATGTAAAATCAATCTTGTGCGTACCACTCATGGTCGCTTACAGATTAACAATGCTTTCTTTCAATGAGTATTGAATTAAAGTTGCCGTATTTGTGCTACGACACTAATTAATTTAATTATTTATGCTATTACGGCCATGTTTATTTACATATAATAATAATGAATACCGATTAAGGGTTTGGTAGCGATTTCAGTAGATATGAATTAATGTCGTATTGGTAGCAACCAAATGTAGAGTACGAGTAGTTTGATTCGAATCAATAAGATAAGAAACAGATAAAGAACTGACATCAAAGAAGAAGATATTTAATCAAACGCAGCATTAAAATTGCAACGATAATGTTTTGTGTGACCACAAATGACTTCATGTTAGTCCCGTGTACGACACACCCTAAATATCCCGACCTGTACGAGACGTCTATAGTTTAATACTATTGCTAAGCGTTTGACTGCCTCGTTGGTCTAGTAGTTGTAGTAGTGCGACTGCTGATCGTGAGTTCCCTGGGTTCGAATCTCGGGCCAGGCCAAAAGACCAATTATTGAGATTCTCTGTCAAGAAATTCTCAGTAGCTGCCCGGGGTCAGGAAGTTGGCGGTGTCTCACTCCCGTGCCTCAGAAAGCACATAAATCCGTTGGTCCTGCGCCTGATCTCTCTCCGCTCGTGTCGGTTTACAGTCCCATCGGATTATGAGAGTAAGAGAATAGAGAGTGCACCTGTGCTTGCGCATATACTTGGGCACTATAATCCTGTCCTGCCCCGTTGGTTAGCCTCCGCTGAGACAGGCTGCCGTGGCCGAAATTCGGTCTCGAGGACATTATTATTAAGATTCAAAATAAAAGCGTAATAAAGCTGTTAACAAAATTAGTAAATTAAATGTCCCATTAATTTATTTGAAAGGTCAGACATATTTGCAGCTACATGTAAGAATTGTATAATTGTTTTTCTCATAACAAAAATTAAAAAAATAATCCGTTAATTAAATTTGAAAATTATAAGAACAAGAAAAGTCACTTCTTCAAATTAAGTCAATATAGCAATAACATACCTAGAATAGAATTGTGTTAAACTTTAAAATTTAAAACCAAAATGGAATGTTTTATGAAGAGGCAGACTTGAGTTTATTTTTAAAGCAAATTTCAAAATTCGATTACAAATTAATTTATGAAAACGACATTAGGCACATCTCTCTATATATAAAATAAATTGCTGTCCGTTAGTCTCGCTAAAACTTAAAAACGGCTCGACCGGTTTTGATGATTTTTTTTTGTGTGTATGGGTCCCTAGATGCTTTAAATTTACATTTGGTCCCGGTAGGTGGCGCTGTTGTCGAGATCTAGAAATCACCCGTGCGAATTCAGGGCGAATCGCTAGTGTTAGTATAAAATTATCTACCGAAATTGCTACTAAACCTTTAACAAAATAATTAATTAAATTACATTAAATAAAAAAAGCTTTTATACACGACGAATTATTTATCTAATCTGAAAAACCATATTATCAAAAGAAGAAATAAGAAATAATACTAGTTCTCCGATCCGATTTTGCACGAGTGATTCTGAATCCCGACAACAGCACCATCTACCGGATTCAATAGAGTTTTGCAGATCATCCAGGGACCCATTCAAATACACACAAAAATCATCAAAATCGTTCGAGCCGTTTTCGAGTTTTAGCTAGACTAACGGACAACAATTGATTTTTATATATAAGAAGGTTTTAAAAATAAAAAAATTATAAATTTG